ACAGCAGCCCGAAACTGAGTCTGTTGTAAATGGTAAATGGACTGTACTTATATACAGTAGCACCTTTCTATCTTAACAAGATACTCAAAGCTCTTTACAACACAATCTATGCCCTTATTTACCCATTCATATAGCATTCTACTAGATCTATACAAAGAATAATCAGTACCTTAGATCACATTCATACACTGATGGGACACACATCGGAGACAGTGAGGGGTTCAGTGTCTTGCCCAGGGACACTTTGGCCTGTGACTGCTGGTGGAATCAAACCTCCAACTCTTGCATTGGAGGACAACTGCTCTAACCACTCAGCCACAGCCACCCAGTGAGCATATGGGTATGAATGCAACAGTTTACAGGCAAGAGATCAGCAGCATGGATATTCAGCAGCACATAAGTCACATATCACCAATTAAAATGGCATTACAGTGATTTTTCTTTTTCCTTAAAGTGATTATCCTGATTAGGGATTTATGAGTCTGACAGCTTCAGGGTAGAAGATGTTCCTCAGTCTACTGGTTCAACACTTAATGTGCCACAACCTCCTGCCTGAGAGGAGCGGGGCAAAAAGTTTGTGTGCTGGGTGAGTGGGGTCCTTCATGATGCAGGTGGCCTCCTTCCTGTTTTTAAGTCTCATTTAAAAACACACTTTTCTTCCCTGACATTTGACCCAGTGTGAGTTGATTTTAACCTTATTGTGCTTTTATTAATCTAGTTTTTCTAAATGTTTTTTGTTTTTTTTTACCTCTTGATTGATGCATTTTTTTTCAGAAATAAAGTTTATTAATTTAAAGTGAGGGGGAAAAAAACTTGATACAGGAATCCACTTCAAAGGGTTTGAACTATCCCTTTAAATTTATTACAATGATGTCAGGGAGCATGACATAGCTCTGAATAGCTCTGGGATACAAAAAAACAAAACAAAAAAAAAACAATAAAATAATAATAAAGATAGTATCTGGACTGCCCAGATCCTGCACCTGGACCTTGTGGGTTTCAGCTCTACTTTTCAACACCATCATCCTGGCTCTGTTACCTCCAAACATGCCTAACTCCACCTGCAGGTGGATGAATGACTTCCTGTCTTACAGGAAGCAGCACATTAAGATGAGTGGGGCATGTGTCTGACCCCCGGACCACTAGAACTGGATTCCTCCAAAGCTGTGTTCTTTGTCCTCTCCTCCATTATACCAACCCCTGCACCTCCAGTCACCAATCAGTCAAACTCCTGATGTTTGCAGATGACACTGCCCTCATGGGTCACCTCTGAGGAGTCCTGGGGACCATCCCAACCCAGGACCTCAAATGAGAGCAGAACATCAGCTCCCTTATCAAAAAGGGACAGCAGAGGATATACTTCCTGCAGCAGCTGAATAAATTCAACCTATCAAAGACAATGATGGTGAACACCACTGTCACTGAGTCCATCCACTCCTCCTTCATCACTGTGTGGTACACTACTGCCATCACCAAGGACTCAGGCAGGCTGCTGTGTGCCATGCAGTCTGCCATCTTTGCAGGACTTGTACTCCTCAAGGACTCTGAGGTGTGCAGGAAAGATTGCAGATGATCCCTCCCACTCTGAACACCCTCTGTTTAAACTGCAAACCATTAGGACCAGAACCTTCTCAACTGCTGCAGGCCCCATCAACAAAACCTTCAAACACTCCCCAACACATAACTCTGTCTAGTCAGTGTCCATTTGTTTATATTGGTGTGTATAGATCTGTATGTACATAAGAGTGTATCTGAACTTTTTGTTCCCTGTTGTGGAGCAAAGAGGGGAAATTCCATCTGTTCGTACATGTTTGGATAACGTGAGAATATGTGATGTACCTACAGCCATTTTGATGTATAAATAAGATTGTCACATCAAAGTTTGAGATGGCTACCACCATAAAAAAATATGTAAACATTATGTGACAAAGTCCATGCTCAATAATCCAGGTATAAAATCCAACATTTTTCAGTCAGGTCATCTGGACAGTTTATTTTTTTGTGCTGAAATGTTTCGCCTTCAATCCAGAAGGCTTCATCAGTCAAGGAAACACACAACAAAACTGATTCTTCCCCCAACAGCTTACTCCAAAGTGGAACAAACCAGTTCAGCTTGTGATTAGATGGTCTCTTTGGTACGCCCCTCCTCCATTGCCGGCCCTCTTCCTTGTTGACAGTCTTGTCAAACTGGTTGAAAACAACAAAGTCCATGCTCAATAATCCAGGTATAAAATCCAACACTTTTCAGTCAGTCATTATGTGCTTAAAACTATGGTTTCCTCTAATGAATGGGGTGGCCGAAGATTAATCTATGGTGGCCAAGGCCCCTATTGGACCCCCTGGCTCTGCCAATGTGCCTATTTCTGTATTTTTTAATCCATTCTTAAACTTGAAATGAAGACATTTAATTGTATGTGTGTCTGTGTGTGTGTGGGTGGGGGGTGGGGGTTCTGGCAGTAAAATAAACATCTCAGATGGAAAGTCAGACAGAATATATGCTGAAGATGTAAGGATAGATTTCACCTTTCTGGGATGATGAGGAGCCAGCAGACAGATCATGGGTCTGACAGCAGCATCTAAACACAACCTGCCTTCCTGTGTCACGTTGCGTTTGCCTGTCACTATGACAACCACCTTCAAAGGTACTACAAGTTCAGCACAAATCAAAGAGTAAACAACTATATATATATATATATATATATATATATATATATATATATATATATATATATATATATATATGTGTGTATGTGTGTAGTAGAAAAACTGAGACGTAATGTTGTTTTAGTGCAGCATGCAGCTCCATTGCTTCTCCCACCAGCTCCACGCTCGATGAATTAATCCACTTCTCCTGAATCTGCTCTTCTCCCTCTGGAGTGTGTTTGGCAGGCGAAGGAAACAAACGATGTGTGAGTCGAGACATTGGCTCCCCGTTGACTCGGACTCCCCCCAGTCACTACGTGATCGCTGCACCAGCCAGGCAGCAACCCACAACTTCAGGAGGTATCACTGAGGAGCGCCTTCTTCTCTCTGCTCTTTTTGGTGCTCAGTCTTCTCACAACACATCTGAATGTGACTACAGCCTCGTCCATTATGGCACAAACTTATCACATCCAGAGCCATTTTGAAACTCCAGTGGCAAAAAGAAGTCAAACGAGGCCGGGGTTAATGACATAATGTTGCTAAATGAGATTACTGGCTCAGTTTCGGCCCGACTCATCCAAACGTGGTTAAAAGGAGCACCTGTAATGTCTGCACTTACAGAGACGCATTAGGTCTGAAAATGTATTTGTTTTATATAATTGCTGCACAATTAGAGTCAGATATTTTCAGCCAAGTGCTGCTTGAAGCAATGCTTTCTCTTCAAAAAGCCTATTTTATGTTTGACAACTCTGTCACTCGTGTAAAACAAAGAAGGGAACAGATTGAATAAAACAAGGTACTTTATAGTTTGTGTTTGCTTATAATCACTATTTTACATTAAATTATAAATATTGTTTTTTATTATTCTGCAAGCTACAAAACAGAGCAACCAAACTATTTTTCTATGTAAAACGGCTTAAAACGGCCATCGGTTGCCCTGCCTCTACACCATCTTGGCCCCTACAGTTTATGGCACCTGGTATTTCCAGGCGGTCTTCCATCCAAGTACTAACCAGGCCCGAACCTGCTTAGCTTCCAAGATCAGACAAGATCGGGCGTGTTCATGGTGGTATGGTCGTAAACAATGCTTCAAATGCATTAACTTCCTGTGCATTTGTTCCCACTTGCTGACCTGTAAAACTAAAAAATCTCTCTGTAGCAACAATGGAGTGCATCTACCTGGCTTTCAGTCACTCTATTGCTTTTAACAGCAAAAACTACCCCTTTAAAAACAACTTCCATGATGTCAAAAAGTTAAGTCAGGTTCTCTGGACGGGTTCAAAAAACAAAAAAAATTGTAAAAATGTTTCATCTTTCATCCGAAAGATGATTTTTTTTTTTTTTAGATTTTTCTACCTGGATTATTGAGCATGCATCAGGAAACTTCCATGGTGATTAATGAGTAGCTGGTTGAGTTCTTCTGATCCCGGAGCCAAAATACCGAGTTAAACGATAATTGTGTCTGGAGAGAGTTCAGTGTCAGCTCTGATATCACCGTCATCGAGGTACTCTGTCCACTTCCACAGGGTTCATTACCTGAGCAAGGCCTTTCATGGTGATTTTTAGGGGTTTGTTATCGACCCCAAACAAGAAGCAACAAAGAAATGTCGAGCTTGACCTGTTGCCATGGCAACACTTGGATGCAGAGTGTTTTGACAGCCTAAAATGGATTGTGTCAAACGTTATTTTCAAAAAGTTCTCCGCAGTTTATTTTAAGAAGCAGAACTGGAAAAAGCATAGCAATAAATTACACATTATACCAGTTCTTACTGCTTTACAGTGACATTTTATTTTAAGTAGATGCCAAAATACAGACTGCAATCCAATTTTTTATGGTATTTCTACATCAGATCTCCTTCTTTCTCCCCCAAATGAAAAATCCTCCCGAGTCAGGTCATTATTCATGGATTACTGCGTCTTAATACATCTGTGAGAGGAGTACAAAGTGTCGCCTGAGGCAGTGTGGGCCACACAAAAACTTGGATTTGTGACTGGACAGCTGGATGTTAGAGTTGTACCCATGAGGTGACTCCAGCAGAAATCAGAAACATGACGATCACTCAGTGCGTTGACGTCTCAGAGAAACTGGAAACAAATCCCAGTTCGTGCGGATTCCCAACATGTGTAAAGGTAAGCAGCCTTGCTTAAAGCTCAGTAACGTTAATAAATCAGTAGAAGTGAAGGAGACTGACAGGAGCAGTGCAAAGTCCTGCTGATAAAAGGCAGCGCTCGCATTGATAAGGGTGAAGATTAACCGTCTCACACACACTTGATTCCCACGTCACGGCTGGGATCACACTTACACACGGAAAATGTGACGGTTACTAAAAACAGGACGAGTGAGGACTGGTTCTTACCTTGCTGTCGGCCTCCTTCTTTCCTAGATGCTGTCCCATGCTGCTGACAGAGACTGGAAGAGACAGAGAGTGGACAACTGTAAACAGCTTCATATGTGGCATTACACACTCTTCCTTATGAGAGGAGACAACAGGCTCCCCGCTGAGCTGACGTGTCAAGCATCATACACGTTGATGATACAAAAATACAGAGCTGTGTGATGTACGAACCCTGCCTGCGATAAACAAAAACTGAGATAATGTGTAAATAACAGCCACGAGCGTCCATTATTGATCCCGTTAGGTTGGAACTGATCACATGGTTCAGTGTATCTGAAATAAATTGAGGTTAATGTGGTTAGCTTTGGGCGGAGGGGGAGTTCATTACTGAGCTGCTCGAAGCAGAGGTCAAATAGGAAATCTGAGGAAATACTCAAATGTATTTGGAGGATGACATTTTAAAAGTTTTATTATTAAACAGTTTATTCTGTCCTGTACATGACCGGACGATGCTTTAATGCATGTCAGTATTTAATCAGGAAACATTTTGTTTTTTATCTAAGTTGTTTATTGAGCATATATTGCAGCACCAATGGTTATCAACCAATTCTCTTTTGAAACATTTGTGTTGCGTTACCTAATATATTTATATATATATAAAAAGTCATTTTCAGTTTTTAATAGATGTTTAGTCAGGATTACTCCTCAGCTTGTTATTAAGAAGTCATAAATTGTCTCTACAATGCTGCTTTTTCCTAATAATTGTAAAAAGGAAGGTGGCAGCTTTTACCTTCCGAATTAAACAAATGTTAAGCTGATGTCCCCCGTTGCTGAGGGATTTGAAAAGCATAACGTTTTTGAATAGGGGTAGTTTTTATTTTTATGCTGCTTGTCCAAGGCAGCACAGAGTGATGGATCCTGGCCAAAGGCGGGAGCAATTTTATCCATCACCAGATGCAATGGCAGAGCCAGAGGGTGGCCAATGGTGGCCTTGGCTTCCATAAAATAATCTTGGGTCATCCCAATCATTTGAAGAATCTACACTTTTAAGCAATAACACCCCCCACCCCCACCCCCCACCCCACCCCCAGAAATTAAAGTTTACTCAAACGATAAGCATGGCTAGTTTACATTTATATGGAAGTGGCCATCTACCCAGTTTTCAATGGTTACCTTTCTTACGCCTAGATGTAGCCACACACCCAAATGGAAATTAGTGCATCACTTTTTTTTTTCCAAATCATTGTGCTCACAAAGTGGTCGAACATTTATGGTGGCAGCCATCTTGTATTTTCACATGGCAACCCTGTTTTTGTAAGAAACCTTTCTTGCATCTAGATGTAGCCAACCTAACATGGAAGTCAGTATCTCACCTTCTGGACTTGGTGTGATTTTAGAAAGGATCAAGGCAGTATACGGGTACTGGGGGAGTTTAAGTCAACTCACTGCTGTTACACCTCTGAGCCACCAAGCAATGTAAAGCCAGTGTTGTAACAGTCAACATATGAAGGGTAAGCAGCAGCTCGAGCATATGGACATGACAGATGGTTTGTATGACCAGTCAGCCACAGGAGTTAGAATAGGAGATGTCCAACACACATTCATGCATGGAGCTTCATGTAAAGTTCACACCATTGTGGGATATAGTTGGCTCAAGTGGTGATTAATAACCAAAGTATAACCAGTCCATATCAGGGAATGTTTCAAAGAGCTTAACTAAGGTAGAATCATTGGAATTTTTTTGAAAAGTGTGGCAAAAACAGCCTCCCTATTGGCAGACGACTTAGTGCAATATTTACACCTTGTGGTACTGAAGTTGGCAGTGATTTACAAGAAAAGGCATATCCAATCAATTATGTGTACTCTTCCGTGCATGTTAGAAAAATAAAAAATCATTGCTCGTTCCATTTTTTCCCACCATCTCAAACAAATAGACAAATGCAGAAAAATGTGTTTGGTCTCAACTAAGCTGCCGTGTCCTCATTTAGCTGTACTCTACTGGGTCTTGGTTCATTAGAGGATTTTGTGGTGATGGTTTGTTTTGCCTCGTGGCATCGCCACTGCTCCACTGTGCAGCCTGCAATTGATTAGTAGCTGCTTCATTAAAGCCATCCTTTGAATCTGATGTGGTTCTCCTCAAACTTATTATTTTGCTGCGAGCTGCCAAAGGTTTACTGCATCCTAATCATTCTGTGCTGCTCTGCTGTCTGACCAAAGGGTTTTAAGGTAAAAATGAAAGTAAATGGTTTCTGTGTCATACACAATGGAGCTCAATTACCAGCTTTAAATGACGCGGTTGATTATAAAAATTCATTGCATGTCCAGTCAATCATGTAATGCTAAAAAGTGAGACAATGTTGGTGTTTTTTGTATCACTAGTCAATTCTTCTCAAACAAACACTGTAACTACCATTCATCCATTCTCTTTTTTCCTAAAGAAGAAAAGGAAAGGATAGCTTTTGTCGTCTAAAGTTCCTAGCATAAAGTCAAACAAGAATTAATGCTAGATATTGACAATCCACCTGACAAAAATACAAGCAAGCCTTTATTTACATACGAAAAGGTTCAAGTGAGTAAAAGTGTCGAACACAAAGAAGCTGAAGGGATGAATACTGCTTCAATCTAAAGCTCAGCCTGCACTCACCAGTTCTCTGAATATCAGCTTTTCCCTCAAGGACCTTTCAGCTTTACTTTCAAATAATCACAGCATGCATTTTTGGCTTTCAGAAGAGTTCTGAAGACATGAGGGGGAAAGGGGCTTTCATCATCTTTGACACCTCTCTTTCTGAATGGCCTTGCTCTATTTTGTGCATAATAGTCACTGCAGCCAAAAAACATAGTCCTAATGCTGAAAAATGTACAAAAAACTGAGGTAATTTGTTTTTTAAATGGTCTGTTGATAGTCCAGACCAACCTTGGAACAGGTCTGACTTTTTGACTTGATATAAAAGGACAAAACGCTGAAAACTGAACCAACCATGTCAAAAGGCCATTCACTCCATAATGTTATACACCGATCATTTTCTCTTTATATATCAGTCCTAAAAACTCCTTGACCTGCTTAAAGGATTACATATCACCTGATGCTTTTGACACCAAATTTAGACTAAGATCATCTGTTGTAGCTGCTTTTGTGCAATACAGGAAGTTGTCGGCTTCATTTTCATTCTTACAGTATATTTTAGATTGTACGGTATACATTGTGTGAATGTTTATGATGCATTCACACTATTGTGATCCATTTTTCTTCTGTACATTTTTCAGCATTTTTCTCATTCCACAATTTTTGTGCTATTTCCACAAATCATACTGTATTTCAAAATGTTCAGCTTGTTCAGGAGAAGGGTGCTATTACCGTGCTTGTGGTATTGGTACAACTATAGCTCATTGATATATTTACCTTTTTCTGCCATTTTTTTCTCAAAGGAAATGAATTGAGCTCATTTTACGTCCTTCAAATCTTTAGATCTGTTTACAACCTTTTACTGCTCTTTTTACATTTTGTTCCATTTCAGCTTCTTTGTGCATTTATTTTTATTTCAACTAATTTCAGCTGCTTTTTCAGTTGTTTTGTGCTCCTTTCAGCTTCTTTCTGCTAACTAAAACATTTTTGTGCTTTTTTTTAACTTCTTTCTGCTAATTTCAGCTTGTTATGCTTTCAGGTTATTTCTGCTAGTTTCAGTTTTTGCTGCTATGTCAGCTACTATTTAGCTGTTTTATGCTAATTATAACTTTGTCAGCTAATTCACATTTGTTGCACTCGTTTCTGCTTATTTCAGCCTAATTGGGCAAAATTGTGCTTTCCCTCCACTTCCTTCTAGTAATTTATGATTTGTTCTGCCTTTTTAGCTACTTTCAGCTGCTTATGTTATTAGTGCTTAGTGTATTTTTAGTTTATGTTTTTCTTAGTTCATATCTTAGATGTTATCATTGTTTTTCTTTTACATTTTTATTGTTGGATGTAGCTGGGACTCTGTATACATAATTTCGTTCCACCACATGTACCACATGTGGTACAAATGACAATAAATAATCTCTGATTATGACTTATTGTTAATTCTGCTTTTTTCATATAATTTCCACAGTTTTTGTGCTAATTTCTGCTTCTTTCAGACTAATTGGGAAACTGATTTAAATTGCTAATTTAAGCTTGTTCTAACTTTTCGGCTAGCTTGTTGGCATTTGTAGCTAATTTCAGCTGTTTTCAGAAAAATTCAAGATTTTTTTATGGTAATTTCTGCTACTTTCAGCCTAATTTACTTCTTTTTGCTAATTTCAGCTTGTTTTGCTCTTTTTGGTGCATTTCTGCTAGTTTCAACTTTTTCTGCTATTTCAGCTGCTATTTATCTGTTATTTGCTATTTTTAACCTTTTCAGCTAATTCTGGATAAAAAAAAACATATCTTTTCAGCTCTTTCTGCCTCTTATGATAGTTTAAGCTTTTTCTGCCTTTTTTGTGGCTAATTTCAGCCTTTAAAAAACAAACAAACAAAAACTTATTTCCTAATTTTTGTGCTCATTTCTGCTTATTTAAACCTAATTTGGCAAATGTGTTATTCTGCTTTTTAATGCTAATATAGTCTTCTTCTTCCATTTCAGCTAGATTTTACCTTTTAATTTATTTTTTTAGCTAATTTCAGCGGTTTGTCAGCAAGTTCTTCTGCAACAATGAATTTTTGCAGGAAATGCAATTTCGCTTGTTATTATTGTTTTCTGTTGGATTAAGGTTGTCTCCTTCTGTGTTGTTGAGCATTGTTTTGGGTGTACAATGCTCTGCTGTTCCTGTTTCGCTGTAAAAAATACATTTGCCCCTTTAAGACTGGGGAAATGTTGAGCTCAGTCACATTTAGAGCTTGTGTTTGTGAATCCATGAGCTATAACTACACTAACTTTAAGCACAATATTTAGAAAAGTTGTTGAGGCATAGCCATTAAGTTCAGTTAGTTGTGGCGGCCATCTTGAGTTGAGTTGAAGTTAATCAGTTGTTGATAAATAGCCAATAATTAATTTCTGATAGTTTCATTAAAAATTGTCCAGTGGTTCACCTGATATTTGGTAGCAGTGGTAACAGTTTA